GTCGGAGGTGTAGGATGAAGATGGTCTCTCTCAAACAACCCTGCAACCAAATAGCAAAGAGACTCTTGTGTCCCCAACACAACCAATACAATGGTAAATTGTATATGTGCACTAGTTCGGCGAAGAGATGGTGATACAAGTGCAATATGGATAGTAGATATGGATTTTTGTAATCTGAAAATAAAAAAACAGCAAGGTAGCAAGTGGTAAAAGTGAGCAAAAACGGTATTGCAATGCTTCGAAACAAGGCCTGGGCTTCATACTTTCACTAGTGCAAGTTCTCTCAACAATAATAACATAATTGGATCATATAACAATCCCTCAACGTGCAACAAAGAGTCACTCCAAAGTCACTAATAGCGGAGAACAAACAAAGAGATTATTGTAGGGAACGAAACCACCTCGAAGTTATTCTTTCCGATCAATCCATTGGGCTATTCCTATAAGTTTCACAAACATCCCTAGAGTTCGTAGTAAAATAACACCTTACGACACACATCAACCAAAACCCTAATATCACCTAGATACTCCAATTTCACCACAAGTATCCGCGGGTATGATTATACGATATGCATCACACAATCTCTGATTCATCTATTCAAACCAAACAAAGAACTCCAAAGAGTGCCCCAAAGTTTCTACCGGAGAGTCAAGACGAAAATGTGTGCCAACCCCTATGCATAATTTCACAAGGTCACTGAACGCGCAAGTTGATCACCAAAACATACATCAAGTGGATCACGTGAATATCCCATTGTCACCACAATAAGCACATGCAAGACATACATCAAGTGTTCTCAAATCCTGAAAGACTCAAACCGATAAGGTAACTTCAAAGGGAAAACTCAATCCATTACAAGAAGGTAGAGGGGGAGAAACATCATAAGATCCAACTATAATAGCAAAGCTCGCGGTACATCAAGATCGTGCCATATCAAGAACACGAGAGAGTGAGAGATCAAACACATAGCTACTGATACATACCCTCAGCCCCGAGGGTGAACTACTCCCTCCTTGTCATGTAGAGTGTCGGGATGATTAAGATGGCCACCGGTGATGATTCCCTCCTCCGGCAGGGTGTCGGAACAGGGTTCTGGTTGGTTTTTGGTGGCTATAGAGGCTTGAGACAGCGGAACTCTGGACTAGGTTTCTTTTCAGGGGTTTCTGTATTTATAGGAATTTTTGGCGTCGGTTTCATGTCAAGGGGGTCTCCGAGTAAACCACGAGGTAGGGGCACCCTCCCTGGCCCCCACCCTCGTGAATGACTCGGGACTCTTCTAGCCCAACTCTTTTGCTTCGGGGGCTTCTTCTGGTCCATAAAAAATCTCTGTAAATTGGCAGGTCAATTGGACTTTGTTTGGTATTCCTTTTCTTTAAAACTCAAAACAAGGAAAAAAACAGAAACTGGCATTGGGCTCTATGTTAATAGGTTAGTCCAAAAAATCATATAAAATAGCATATAAAACATCCAAGATGGATAATATAATAGCATGGAACAATAAAAAATTATAGATATGTTGGAGACGTATCACACAGCAACAGTAGGTATTTCCCTCAGTGATGAGACCAAGGTTATCGAACCAGTAGGGGAACCACGCAACACCACGTAAACAACACCTGCACACAAAGAACAAATACTTGCAACCCTACGTAAGAGAGGAGTTTTCAATCCCTCACGGGTAAAAATAGGTAAAATTGTAGTGGTTTGGATAAATAGATCTCGCGGGAACGCGAGATAAAATAAATAAATAAAAATTAGAGCAAGGTATTTTTGTATTTTTGGATTAATAGATCTAAAAATAAAAGCAAATAAAAATAGATCTCAAAGGCAAATTTAAGAAGAGACCCGGGGACTGTATATTTCACTAGTGGCTTCTCTCAAGAAAAATATCATACATTGGGTAAACAAATTATTGTTGGGAAATTGATAGAACTTCAAATAATCATGACGATATCTAGGCAATGATCATTATATAGGCATCACGTCCAAGATTAGTAGACCGACTCCCGCCTGCATCTACTACTATTACTCTACACATCGACTACTATCCAGTATGCATCACTATATAGGCATCACGTCTAAGAAATACGAAGCTATAATAAATCATGCATATAAGAGATCAAAAGGCTGAAATAACTTTCATGGATAAAAACATAGATCTGATCATAAACTCAAAGTTCATCGGATCCCAACAAACATACCGCAAAAAGAGTTACATCATATGGATCTCCAAGAGACCATTATATTGAGAATCAAACAAGAGAGAGAAAGCTATCTAGCTACTAATTACGGACCCGTAGGTCTACAATGAACTACTCATGCAGCATCGGAGAGGCACCAATGAGGATGATGAACCCCTCTGTGATGGTGTCTAGATTGGATCTGGTGTTTCTAGAACTTGCAGTGAATGGAATTAATTTTTGTCGACTCCCTCAGGGTTTCTGGAATATTATGGTATTTATAGAGCAAAGAGGCGGTGCGGGAGGCCACCGAGGTGGGCACAACCCACCCTAGGCGTGCCTGGGCCCCCAGGCACGCCCTAGTGGGTTGTGCTTCCTTCGGAGCACCCCATGGTACTTCTTTGGCCCAACAGGCGTCTTCTGGTTCAGAAAAAATCGACAAAAAATTTCGGTGTGTTTGGACTCTGTTTGTTATTGATTTCCTGCGATGTAAAAAACAAGCAGAAAACAAGAACTGACACTAGGCACTATGTCAATAGGTTAGTAACAAAAAATGATATAAAATGATTGTAAAATGACCTTAAAACATCCAAGAATGATAATATAACAACATGGAACAATAAAAAATTATAGATATGTTGAAGACGTATCAACCCTCGCCTCTATCAAGTGGTATCAGAGCGTATTGGACATTTGTACAATCCACATATGAAGATAAGGGGGAAAGAGAAGTTTTGGTGTTGTTCAAAGAGTACTCTCACATTACTTTTGGGCCAAGAGAAGATAGAGTCGAAGTCTCTCACGTTCTGGATTCAGATTCGGACTACACAGACATACCTGACTCAAAACGCCAAGAACTCTTTCATACAGACTCCGAGTTGGGTGATTCTTTTTTTGTTGGAAAGTAGATTTCATGCTCTTTCCAACCCAATTGGATTCACCTTCAAATTCCTCCGGAGAGTTGAGTTATTGACAACACAATCTGATGTTGTGCTGTCAGGGCATCCGCACACCACTCAATCTTCCAATTTGCACCTAAAATGAAATTTCCCTTGTCATCTCTTATAACAGCATCCGCTGTGCCTCTTAGTTGATCATGATCAAAAGAAGCATCCACTAATTTAACAAAACCTATAGGAGATCTGCTCCATCTTTCATTCTTTTTCTTCCCCTTTGATGAGTGGGCATTTACATAGTTTGCCATTAGAGCTCGTATCCCCATCGAGGTTGATGTTGAATTACAGTGATAGTCCAATTAGCAAGAAAATAAAAAAAAGAAACATATGCATACATAAGCCGAGGGGTATACGCGGAGTGCCACACCCAGCATAAAGAACCCGTGGCAAGGCCTGGAAAATCGGGACCAAACGGCAGGACACGACGTAAGTGTAGGCCGAGAGTTGTGGACTTGTGGTGAGCACTCAACCTATGCATTGGACACATGGCAGTGATTGGTCGACCGTTGCTACCATTTTAGCCGTGCAACAACACTCGGCTTATAGACATGGACTTGACGCACAATAGACCATAACGAATAAATAAGATGCATGGCTTACAATTGCGCTTGATCGTACGTGTTTGCCGACAACACAAATAGGTTGAGTGCTTACCACAACCCTCTGTACTTCTGATGATAACTAGAGACTGTTAAGACTAATTAGTCCATGCGATTAATTAGGGGAATCCCCGTTCCCCACGTGCAGTTGCGCTCAGCCGCACGACGATTACTTCTCGATCCCATCCCTACAAACCGACGCCTCCTAGAGGTATCTCCTCAACATGTATATAATCTGTGACAATCATCAATGAAGGAATGGAATTCACTTTACATCTCTCTCGCTTATTATCTGTCGATCTCTCTCTCAAAACATTATCAGCATGCTCTCTGGCGGAGCGATTTCACGACGAGGCTCGTCCGCGGCAACTGGCGGCAGGACACGCCCTCCGGCGCATGGCATAAGTAGGCCTCACCCTACAGAGCGGCGCGGCAGCACATGTCTTCAGCCGTCGCGTGACTCCGCAGCCTCGACCTCCTGCACCAACCTGAAGCGGCCACAAGCCCCGCCGGAGTGATTCCGGAGTCATGAACTACGGCAATCTTCAGTTTCGGCCACCATGCACATCCCCGTCCTGAAGTGATTGGCTAAGACAGAACATCATTTGTTGAACGTGAATGAGAAGCCACCAATAACAGGATTCAGGAAGGTAAGAAATAGAGAAATGTGACGGATTAATCCAGGCTTAATTTGTCATCTGCAGTGGCCAGGAAGCGGGCAGCGTTCACAACCTTCCATCGGCAAGACATTAGCAGAGGAAAACGAACAGAAAGCATGGTGCGTTGGCACCCTCGATCAACGGATTGAAAATCCAAACCAGGAACTGTAAGCGTACAAATGGTTTCCTTCAATTTGTGATGCTCTTACCTCTTAAATGATGTCGGACACGGATCGACGCACTCGATTCCGAACAACAGCAACAGCGGCCTATAGCTTCCCGCGGCCACGACCCCATGACAGAGACGTCGGTAGGCCCTCAGGCACGCGTGGCGCGGTTTCCCTTGCTCGCCCTTGGCGGCAGCAACCCTTGACACGCCCTCCCTCGGGAGTGTGTGATGCGGCTCTTGCGCAGCGCGGCTCCTAGGCTGTGAGGTCTCAATCCCGAATTTCATTCACCATAGCCGAATTTGAGTTACATGGGGATGGGGATCGAGAGGTAGAAGAAGAGGCACTACTAGCTCACACCATCTACCGATTACAAACCAGCCAATCGCCAGCCGCCGCCTATCCTCGTTGTCATTCTGGTATAAGTAGGAGTGGGGCCTAGGCCCATTCCGGCCTAGCTAGCCGAGCGGGTACGCGAGGCTGCCTCTTGGGCCGAGCATTGCTTTGAACTTCGACTTGGCGCACGCCTTGGTCACTGACAATCCCTCCTCCCTTAGAAGCAGCTTGCCCCCAAGCCGGTGCTCTCGGAAAGTTTTGCTGCAACGTCACTTTATCTTCCCAAGTAGCCATGTCCTCCGGCAATCCACTCCACTTGACCAACACTTGGATGACCGAGTCAGAGCCACGACGGACAACTCGCTGCTGCATGATCTGCTCAGGACACTGAAACTGATTTTCAGGAGTAGGTAGTTGTGGCAATACTTCACAGTCCGGTGTCAGCACTTTCTTGAGTAGGGACACGTGGAACACAGGATGGACTTTACTACTTGCTGGCAGCTCGAGCTTGTATGCCACAGCTCCCACACGCTCCAGGATATGGAAAGGGCCATAGAACTTGAATGCAAGTTTATGGTTTGCACGCGGTGCTACTGAAGCTTTAAGATATGGTTGAAGCTTCAGAAACACATGATCTCCGACTGCAAATTCATGATCCGTGCGATGCTTGTCAGCTTGTCTTTTCATGCGTTGCTGTGAGCGGAGCAAGTGTTGTTTGACTGAATCCAGGACCACTTGACGATCGGAAAGCCACTGCTGCAAGTCTGGGGATTGAATGGTATCATCAACTACAATCCCAAAATGATGTGGACCATGCCCATAGATGATTTCAAATGGTGTTCTTCCTGTTGCTGAGTGCCAATTCTTCCATAAACCTTGTCACATAATGCACCATGTTTGGTTGTGCTTCATATGCTGTGAGTTGATCATACAGTTCAGAGAAACGTTCCACATAATCTTCTACTGAACCTGATTGATGAATTTTGAACATCTGCCTCAAGAGGTTCTGGTGTTTATTCCTGCCTAACCTGGATTGCAGTAGGGCGCAGAACTTAGCCCAATTGACCTGTCGGGCGCGATGATGAACTGATTCGAACCAGCGGGCTGCAGTGCCCTCAAACTGAGCTGATGCAAATGAAATCCACTGCTGTTGTGGTGTGTTCCAGAACCTGAAGTGATCTTTGCAGTGGGTTTGCCAGAGCTTGGGATTCCAGCCATCAAATCGCGAAAGTTCAATTCTAGGGCCGTACCCCACAATTTCAGCCTGATGCGGGCAAAAAATTTCTGGTGCCTGGATGATCTGTCTGGAAGTGCTCTGATCTGAAGGCATACCTTGAGCCGGTGGTGGTACGTAGCGCTGGGCTGGTGCTCGAAGGTCACTCTCGGTGCGGAATCCTTCAGATCCTCCTGATCCGCTGTGGATCGACGTGCCCTTGGTGGACGCAGGTGGCTCGCGTGGCAACGACGGCGCGGTCGGGCAGGGCACGGTGACGCGGTCTGCCCCAATCTCGCCGCAGAGGTCGTCGAGGTCGACTCTGATGGAGAGCTTGACGTCCTCGATTCGCCCGGAAAGTTGGTCCAGCTTGCTGTCAAGCTTGGCGAGGGCTGAAGCCATCTCCTGGTTGCGATCCGTCGAGCTCTTGGAGAAGGCGGTGTCGAAATCCGCTCTCAGAAGCTCGTATATCGCCTTGGTCTTGGGGGAAATTTTATCCATGGCTTCGGCACGCGGCGCTCGGTGAGCCTGGTGTGTCGCCGGTGGACGGGAAGGTCCAGGGTGGTGGGAGGAACGGCTCTGATACCAGATTGTGAGGTCTCAATGCCGAATTTCATTCACCATAGCCGAATTCGAGTTACATGGGGATGGGGATCGAGAGGTAGAAGAAGAGGGACTACTGGCTCACGCCAACTACCGATTATAAACCAGCCAATCGCCAGCCGCCGCCTATCCTCGCTGTCATTCTGGTATAAGTAGGAGAGGGGCCTAGGCCCATTCCGGCCCAGCTAGCCGAGCGGGTACGCGAGGCTACCTCTTGGGCCGAGCATTGCTTTGAACTTTGACTTGGTGCCCGCATTGGTCGCTGACACAGGCGTCCCCTGGCGCAGCCCCCTCCGGCCTCCAACGCAAGGCACGGTGCATGGAGGTAACACGACTGAGTCGTCAGCCGTGCGACCATGGACACGGCCCAGCCACAACCCTCATCCGCCTTTGCCCCGGCGAGGCCGTCGAGGCTGCCGGCTGAGGCTGTTTAAAAAAATCCCCTCGGGATAGAACTGCACGAGAGAAATCCCAATTTTACAACCTCACGAGAGAGACAAAGAGCATAACCTTATCCCTTCATCGGTCATCGGGGCCTCCATCTTGACCTTTGGCTCCGGCGTGAGCGGCTCCTCTAGGGCTGCGACCGTCAATGTTGACGCCGCCGCGTTGTCCCAGATGCCCGCCACTCCTCGGGTGCGTTTGGTTGGCGGATATGTTTGAGTGGTTATGGGTATCGCCAACCACTTGGATAGGGATAGCTATATCTTTTGTTTGGTTGTGTGAGGTGTTTAGTGGATAAAGATAGCCTTTTGTTTGTTTGGTTAGAGGGATGAATACTCCTGTTGACCCATTTTTATTCGCGTGAGGGATTAGGAAAGCAGTAGTTGCTCGCAAGTGCTGTCTTGGTTTACCTGCAAACAAAGCACAGCCTGCCGGCAAGGCACACATAGCCATGCATAAACAAAACACGCACATACGCACGGAAGCTAGCCCCGCCGCCGCACGCCATAGATCAGCCCTGGCCAGCACACCATAGCTCCGTCATCATCACCAAGCATGCTGGATTTTCCATGGCCGCCGTGCGCTAGGCTTCACTGCAGCCGCACGCAATAGATCAGCCGCTGCTGCTACTCCTCGTCCCACTCCAGTTGGCTTCCTCGGGACGATTTCCTTTGCCAGGAGGTGCGCGCCGACGAGGCGAGCTCGTCTCCGGCACCGGCACCTCCTATCGTCCACCACAGACTCGCCCTGGTCGTCTTCTTCCTCGCGTCCGGGGCAGCTTTATCCAGATCTTTCTGTCTCCTCGTCGCCTCTTTTCAAAACTGGTACGCCGAGGTATTCTGCCGTCGGCCCGCCGCCGCTGTGCTCTCGTGCAGTCGTCGTCCTTCAAGCGATCTCGATGCGAGAGAGAGGGGGAGATGCGAGAGAGACGGTGAGGGGTGGGCTTTCTGTTCGAGGAAGGTGGAACTTGCGTAACGATTCGGAGCAGCGAAGGAGGATGCCCATATACGCGAGATTTCCACGGATCTGCGGAACCGAGTTTTGAGAGAATATACTACAAATCTTGGCTGCCCTTATCCCGGGCTATCCAGCCTCTCTAGTGAACCAAACACCTGGCACCCCCTTTTAAACTGGCTATCCCTGTTCTGTGGAGGATTTCCTGTGAACCAAACACACCCCTCATGGCCCTCGCTGTCCCGCTGGAGAGCCCGCCGCCGAGCAGCCACTCCGGCCGCGCAGCAGCAGCGCTCTGGCTTGCGGATGGCGCCTACAACGGCATCGCCCCCAGCACCCACCTCCTCGGCGTCTCTTCTCCTGAGAACGAATTCCGCGGGAGATCTTCTCGCTGCTGGTGATGCGGCTGGTCAGTATGCGTGGGAGTCTCCGCCTGTCTTGGTGCGATTTGGGATCGAAAGCGTCTAGTGGATTTTTCCTCTGGCTGCTCGCGTTGGCCAGGATGGGCTGCCTTTACATGGCTAATTTGCTTGTGGCCTGGACTTCAGGCAGCCCGCAACGCTTTCTTTACTTGCTTATTTGCATGTTTGTTTAGCAGATTAGCAATTAATCTTCTAACAACACTACTAGCAGTAATTTATTTCTGTTTTAGATCTGCTAAAATCAGTACATTTATTTTAGTACTGTTTTCTATTGAGTACTGAGATGTATTCCAGATCTTAAGTCGATGTACTACATTTTCACATTTATCACGTGTTGAGATTAATTACGTCTATTTCTAATAGATATTTTTAATCTCTTGTAAAAATTAATTCAGTACCTCTGCAATACTGTTTCTTCGATGAGTACGAGGTATTCCGGAATATTCTTATGATGTATCTATTTCCATGTTAACCACCTGTCGAGGCTAATACATCTATTTGCAATTGAGATTTTCAATTTCTTGTAAATACGGATGCAAAATTCAAGGTGATTTCTTCAAATTGATGCTTGAGATCACACGGTAGTCATATGGATCTACTGCCTATGCAGATTATCGATGACTACTGATAAAGCCTATATGTTGTCTTTTCAACATTATGATTGCTTTACAAACTTCCCCGTCACACATTTTACTAAGTCATGACATAAGGCTTTACGTGTGAGTATCTACTGATTTCATCAGATTATACTGCTGCGATATCTACTCCATTTTGGAGATTACCTTCAAGGTGTCATAATTAGCAATTTGAGATTCACACTAATGGTTTCAAGATAACTTCTTGAAATGTCCATTGATTTTGCTAAGTTCATTACAACATCAACCATGATGGTCTTTAATTTACTGGCTGTAAATTAATTATCTCTGGTTTACACATAGAGGTAACATATTGATGAGGACATCAATACCATTGTTACACCCATAACCCCTGCTACTATACATACTGAACCAATTACTAGAGCTCGTGCACGCCAAATAAATTACCAGATACTTCCATTTCTTGGTAATGATTCTAACGTTCATGAGAATATGATGTTGCCTAAACTGGATACATTTGTTTTGCTTACAAATGAAGGGCCTAGCTTGGAGAAGGATGAACACTGGAGCAAGGACAAGCATGGAGATAATGACATGCGCAAGGGAAACAAGAACGGAGTTTCAAGTGATGATTTCAGGACTTTGAAGCCACCGTAATGAGTGCATGAAGTCTTAGATGAAATATACAAGATGCGACTTCACAAATTTCGTCTAGAGGCTGTTATAGGTGTTGCGTCACTTTATTATTGGGCCAGGCCCATGTAATTTCGAAACACATAGGTATATGCTGTTTTTAGAGTCCGTATGTGTGGGGAAACAAGAGATAGGGTTGGTTTTGGACCCCTCCCCCAAGGGCCACGAAATTCCCCCCTCTTCCTCCATATATACAGCCCTTAGGGCATCGTTTAGACTTCGGGTTTTGTTTAGATTAAAAGTTTGCCATAGCTGCAACTTCTCGTACTTCGTTTTTGTTCAATGACCAGACAAAGACGTCACAGAACCCCATTTTGATCAATAAAGCTTTCATCTTATATTCGCAGTATCCAGATTGCAATCTTAGTTTCTTGCTTGTTCTTCATTTGCTTGCAGGAAATAGACCTTCATGGTCAGGTTGATCGTGCTCCGGCGTGGTCAATAACCTCTTGGAGTTGGTTTAGCGATTGCTAAGGCGCGACGTCCTCGCACGTACGTAGTTAGATCGTCAAAGTCTACTCCTCCGGAACGATAATCACCATCTCATCGGAAGACGGGGCAACTTTGCCTCTATCAAGTGGTATTAGACTTCTAGGTTGCTCGGTGAGATTTTATAGTTTTTGTAGTTTTGATCGAGTCTGTTCTTCATACCTACAGTCCACGAAAAAGCCAGAAAAATTAGGGTTAGTTCATCATATCCGAACCAATCTGAGCCTTTGCATAATCCTTTTAGGGTTTTGCATTGTTAAATTTGCAGTTGCA